TTTCTAATTTTAAGTACCATTATGAAGCAGGCACAGTACCCCTTGATTTATTGACTGTTTCAATTTGATTTTTTTCAGTGGATGTATATATACGCATATACCTACTTAACCTGAAAATGTACTGTTTATAACTTTGTACACTACCCTTATATTTTAGTGAATAATATGAAGACACCTAATTAATCAGCCTACCCTTTAGACAGGACAGATCCTCTCTTTTGACAGACAAGTGAAAAAGCATTTAGCTCCTCAAAGGAAGTAGACAATTTATAAAATTACACAATGTCTAAATTCCATACTGTTCAGGCACTTAAAATTTTACAATTGGATTTGTATAATGTTTGTATTTTTCTAGAAACATATCACTATTTACAAAAGTAAGATTAGAAATACTTTTTCAAAATACTGCTTTTATTTTCCTAACACTGGTAATAATATCCTGAGATTGAAAATTGAAAATCTGTAAATTACGTGATATGCTGAAGTTGTTTCAATGAATCCTTCAAAGAGTTTTGCAGATTTGCTCATTGTTCTTGTTCTTAAATTAATTTTCACACTTATCTGTATCCACCTTCTTAATACACACAAGTGTTTACCATGGTGGTTTCCCAGTGTTTTCTTAATACACTTTTCTTAACACTTCAGTGATGAAACGCGCCCAATCCTCTCATACCATCTCCTCTAAGTTGGTTTCTTAGAGGCTTCTAAGAGGAGGAGGTGCAGAAGAGTTGAATTCGAACTTGCCCGTTGAATTGTATTTATTTCTTAGTTGACTGATAAAGGTTGCGTTCATTACATTGTATTGGTTCAACTACAAGGAATCTCAGGAAACAAGAGAAATGGTTGTCTGCATTGGTATATCTGGACCCATAAGATGGACCCATGATTTTACTTTAAAAAAGTCATGCCAGACTATCTGGTCAATTTGGTTAAAATGAATGAACACAGAGAAAACACATTCAGACAAGTAGAATCAGTACTGCCAAAATTTACCTGAAAGACAAAACAGCCTTATGAGACCAAAGCTAGGTCTAACAAAACCTAAATGGAAGAAAAGATCAATTTCAGGTCCAACAGTGGTGATATAGGGGACAACTTAAGGAGTCAGCACTTGTTAGATTCAAAGCACATTTGTCAAAAATGGGTATTAATAAGGTAGGAGATTTCACTGAATTTAGGGAGTAGTTATATAAGATTTAAATTTATCAGAAGTGTGTGTTTTGCTTGAGTACAATGAGATTTTGAGTGTAAAGGTGTTAGCTTTCTTACAATGTTTTATTTGCTCTGTTATTTAAAATACATTTTAGGCATAAATATTTTGCAATGTATTAATGTGTTTAAATTTTAAGTTATATTATGGCATATTTTATAATTATTTATTTTTTAAAAAATATTTAGGATGTAACTTCCTCCATTATGTTTGTTCTCTATCTTACCTCATCAATCTATTGAAGGTTTAATTCAACATACTCAAGTAGAATACCACCAATTCAGTTGTAAATCCCACGTGGATATAATGCTTTGGGGCCTTGATTTCTATGTATTCATTATGCGTAATGAGCTTGTTGCCTATCTCAGCAATAAAGGATTTGACCCTAAATCAGGGAATTCTAAGGTGCAGTTATTAATGCTGTATCTACTCTTCACCATTTCTTATGACTGAAGCTCCTCGCTTCCATTCTACGTCTCAACCACAGGGGTGCTTCAAAAATGCTTTCACACCAAAAATGAGCCCCATAGGTGTCCAAGGAACCTGCACCTGGTCTATATCGGGGTTCATATTTATACTGTGTAATTATAGTTTCTTTTGTCATGTGAATTTGTCATGGTTTGGCTTGTCCTAATTAAGTTTATAACCCATCTCCCTGGCAGTTCATTAAAAGCCGAATCTAAAGATTTGGGATGGCAATTAGAAGCAGAAAAAAAGTCAGAGCACAGGCAGTCCTTTGGGACTTCAGTCCCCAAAAAGATCATCTCTCTAAAGTCATTTGGGATTGATTGCTATAGGGGTCCCTGAGTGAGATAAGAAATACCACAATGAAATGTTCTCATAAATGTAAGTTCTTAAATCATTAGTGATAATAGACAATAAGTACTTAAATACATAGCACATTTTCTTAACAGAAATTAATTACATTAAAATGTGCACGTGAGTTGATGTTTCTTTAGGCTGGTTGGTGACTTACACAGTTTTTAACTATGCTTGTCTTCATGTCCCTTATGGCACATTAACTAGGTGCTCTCTGAAGGAATAGTGTGATTTCACACACCATTTCTCAACTTGGAGGCCAAAGACAAGTTCAAATAAATCTCAGGCAGATAGTCCCTTGAAGCCAATCTTCCTCATTCGTTATTTCCCACTTGTAAGCAGCACCAGTATGTTCCCCCCAGGACTGGTTTCTCATGCTTTTTGCCAAGGCTACCAGCAAATATTTAAAAGCAATTTTCTTGATACCTGGAATGATTTTATGTATCCCTCTGGTGGTTTCCCACCTATGTTGCTTATTTTTAAGCTCGGGGATTTTATACCTCAAAAACACAATAATAGCCACAAAAAAATTAGATAATACAATCAGAGGTTATCTTCTAAACCAGGGATTTACATTAAGCTTATTTCAGGCTGCAAATGAATCAGATTTTACAAATTATGTTTAAGAATAGCAATACTTGTTTAGTTGCTTGAAATATAAAGTATCCAAAAACAATCAAATAAATCCCCTAACCTGATATGACTACTCCTACTCCTTTGCTAGACAGAAGCCGATTATCCAAAACCTACACCTGTACAAGGATGAATGTTCTCAGACTGGGAAGTGATTTTTATAGTTCTTAACCAACTTGTCAGACTTGGGGATGAAAATCAGATCATACAGTGCCGTAGAAGTACTGACGAGAAATAAATAAAAGATCATTTGCCCTTAATTACCATGCCAGTTTTGAACCAACTTTAATTATTTACATGTTCCTCTCTAGATGAGTGCTCTAGTTAACAGTTCATCCAACTTCTTAAAAAATCTCAAAGAGGACTTAGAGATTTATATTTTTGCTAGTGAGATATAGTTGGTCTAATTCAATATTGATCAACTTTCTTTCATGGAGAGGATTTGCTGGGCACTTTTATTTGCAATTTCTCGGTCAAGTATCTACTGCTTCCATGAACTATTTCAGTTAAAATGTGTAACAGATGGTCCGCACCATTTGGAATGTGCTAGCTTTGCACGTGCTAGGTTTGTGAGGGGTTGTGTCCAATTAGCGTACTGTATCTGTGGAGCTTCTTGTCCGGCCTGTATACACACCAAGTTTGTAAAACATTTGAGTGAACTGTTCTTTGCATTTTTTAAAAAAATTTTCTTATTCCATTATAGAACTGCGAAACATGTTTATTAGATTAATTTTTCTTTTCTTGTATTCGGTTATGTCATTCTAGTTAAAATAAAAGCACTTTGGTGAAAAGATGATTTCTTTACATTCATTTGAGTATGTGCTATGGCTACTGAAAAAGCTCCCCTTTTTTATAAAGATTGTTTTAGAGAGCTATAACATATACCTCTATTTTCAAAAACTGTTTTCCAAATAGGGAGAAGAATATCCCTTCAGTCTATAAATAGTACTGCTCTATGTAGGCAAGCTGGAATCTGTCTTCTAAGTACAATTCATGCTGAAAGCACGGAACTAGATGCTGTAAGCAGTTTTAAAGAAATCCAAATACAGATTACATGATGACCGATTTAACCAAACAAGTAGGACTAGAATTTTAAAATGTATAGAGAGCACACAGGAGAAAATGTCGATATCTAATATCCTCTTTGATGGGACCAGCAGCTGGCGTAATGGCTATGTCGCTGGACTCCCATGTAGTCGACCAGGGTCTGAGTTCCAGACTCAGTGGCTTAAACTCACGCCAGGCACATGAGAATGGAGGAGAAGAGATTGCTACGTGGCCATTCCCCCTGGAGGGTGATTTCTTGTTTTCTCTCTGTCTCTCTCTGTCTTTTTGGTGAGTGTATGTGCCCTATAGTAAAAACCTCTCAAAGATAAAATCTTCTTTGACTTAAAGGAATTGAGATCCATAAACTAGCAGAAGTCATTGACTATTTTGAGCTATTATTCTGTGCCCTGAGACAAGTCACTCACATGCACTGCTACATAGAATGAGTATAGTAAGTCTATCCAGTAGTTCAAGTAGTTGTCAATGAAACAGAACAGCCAATGTGATTATGTAGATAGCAAGAAACTACTTGACTGGTTAGGAGATACCCATCTTATTATTAAGAATACTCCTTTAACTGAGTCACCTTTGTAAAATAAATAAGAAATGGGGAATCATAGTTTCTGCAGCAATGAAGTTCTAAGTAGAAGGAAGCTAAGTAATCATTAGAACTAAAGCAATGATTCTTAGCTAGAAACAAAGCAAGACTAGACTTAAAAGAGTCCATGAAATTGCTGAAATGCTATTCAAAAAGGATCCTCCCATGCATTTGTGCATTTTTCTGGCTACAGGTTCATAGCTTTCATTATAATTTAAAAAGGTCCACAAACCTCTTCTTTTTTTCTTTTTTGGAAAGGTTTTTGCTATAGGGTGTATGCGCTTGCCAGAAAGACAGAGAGATAGAAAGGGAGAGATCCCCCTCCCAGGGGGGATGGCCACACCACAATCCCTTTTCCTCCATTCTCCTCTCTGGATCTTGGGCACGCACGCACACGTGCCTGGTGTAAGTTTAAGCCACCGGGTCCATGACTCAAACCACGGTTGACTACATGGGAGTCCAGTGACATAGCCATTACGCTAACTGCTGGTCCCCACAAACCTCTTCTCATATTTAAACGTGCCCCCTGCACACACATGCACACACACACCCGTCACAGGGTTACATCCTTGGGTAAACAGTCGGGACTCTAATGTTTCTGTATAGAAAAAAGGCACTAGTATTATAAACACACCTAGAAATACCAGTACTTTAAAAATTTTTAATGAATCTAAATAAGCTCAGTGATTTATTTTAATTGAACAACATTACTTATAAGAAAACATGCACAAGATTAAGAAACCATATTTATTTTTTTCTTTGGTACAACCAGAGATGTCACCTCAAACCTTTAAAATAAATAATCTCATCAATAAAACTTATGAATGCCAGGGTATTAAAATTTCTTTGCTTTCACTAGAAGAGCTCAAAATATTAAAGCGTTTGGGGTACAGTACAAACAGTTCAATAAAAATTCAGACTGAAGATAAAAACCAACATGCGACATAAAGAAATAATTTGGGGTGACAAAGCCCTTCCCTGCCATTCTCCAGAGCGCACATTGACGGGGATTTTAAGCACCAATTTTACCGAATATAGTGGGTTTTCTTTGTAACTAGTCTAGTAATCCTCCATATAATATCTTAATTAAAAACCAAAAATAACTACTGCAACTGATGTAACCCAAACAGTTGTTTTTGTTTATTGGCACGGTGGCTCAAGATATATCACATATAGACAGCACACTAACGTTCAAGATCATGGGAATAGGAATATAAATTGAATTAAAGGGAGGTGATTTTTGTGGAGGTTTTTGTCTTTTTTCTTAGTGTTGTCTCTGCTGTCTTTCCTCTAAGGGAAAGGACAGAGGGCTTACTGAATAGCACCATTTTTCTAAGTTAGACTGTCAAGTAGGACTTCTATAACCATGTTGAAGGTATGACATTGTCATCCCTGCCCCAGCTTCCGGTGGTGATGCTCTGAGCTCCTCCCAGGGGTGGTTTATGGAGACAGCCAAGCAGCACTAAATTTTCATGCATCAGGCCCCTTGCTAAATGCTCGCTGACCAGCCTGCATGGTGCAAGAGGCTGGCTCACAGAAACCGGGAGGGCCAGGAGGTCCGGGCGGGCCAGGCACACCAGGAATTCCTGCCACCCCTGGGGGTCCTCGCTCTCCATCCCGGCCATTTCTTCCATAGCTGGCAGGCCCTGGGTCACCTGAAACACACAAAAGATGACATATGAACAGGAGAATCTTCATGGCTACAAACTAGAAGGCAAAGGACCCCTGCCGCCCAGCAGGGCACAGATAAGGAGCTTAATGATTGTTTTGGAAAATGGCAGGATGATGATTGATGATAATGATGATGATAATGATAATGATAAAACCCTTTCAACAGACTTGGGTTTCATAGAAATTAAAAGTAAAAAGCATCTTCCACTTATGTAGTCCACATTTCCGTCAGAAGGTTTCACTGACCACCGTGGTAGCATCTAGCCACATGTGTCTATCAAACACAGAAATGTGACAAGGTCAAACTGAGATGAACCATAAATACAAAACACACCTGTATTTTAAAAGGCTTACTAGGAGTGCTGGCCGGTGGCATGGTGATTAAGATGCTGGGCTTGCATATGGCTGATTGCAGTTCAAGTCCTGGACCTGGAGACTTGCTTTCCTTCTTTCCCTTTCTCTCTCTCTATCTCTCTCTAGTCAAATTAAACAAATAATAATGATGATAATAAATTAAATAATTCTTTAAAATAAATGCTTACTAGGAAAACCTGTAAGATATGTTGTTAATAATTTTTTATGGGATCAGCAGTTAGCGTAATGGCTATGTCGCTGAACTCCCATGCAGTGACCACAGTTCGAGTCCCGGACTTGGTGGCTTAAACTCACGCCGGGTGCGTGTGCGCGTGTGCCAAAGATCCCGATAGGAGAATGGAGGAGAAGGGATTGTGGCATGGCCATCCCCCCATGGGGGTGATTTCTCACTTTCTGTCTCTCTGTGTCTTTCTGGCAAGTGCAAGCACACTGTAGCAAAAAAAAAAACCTCTCCAAAAAATAATAATAATAATAATTTTATATTTGTTACATGATATAATGATATGCACATGGTAGGTTAAATAAACTACAATATTTAAATTCATTTCACCTGATTCTTTTTACCCTTTTAATGTGGCTATTGGATGACTTTAAACCATCCGCGCAACAGACCTTGCAGTCCATGTTATGTTTCTTTTGAGCAGTGTTATGGGAGCAGGTCCCTTATTTCTAATGAGTAAGAAAAATCCAGACCGGCAGAAGTACAGCTCGGTGGTTAAAAAACCAATCTTTAGAGACAGATAAATGATTCTGAGTTCTAGCTCTGCCATTTGCCAATAAAACGACATTAGCATCCACCAGCCTCCAAGTTCCTTTATCTCGAATATGAGAAAATGGCTTCCTCAGAATTACATTCCATGATTGAAAGCACCCAGTACATAGGGAGTATTATTATAGTCAAAATATTATTTATTAGTGTCTTTTAAAAGACTCTGCCGTGCACCCTACAAAATTCTGTGATATTTTTCTCATCAGAGTTTTAGCCCAACACAGTCTTCACCATGTCAAGTTCCTGGGGGATATGTCTTCCTTTTGTCATGTTCACAGGCTGTATTTTCCACCCAACAGAGGACATTCTCTGATACGTGCAGCGCATAACAAGGAGGAATTTTCTGCTGAAAGTTTACCCCCATTGCTCTAGTGGAGCTTTCATACTATTACTGCAAAGCTAGTGATAAGAAATCAGTGCAAAATTGGGACCATCAGATGGCATAATGGTTACGTTGCTGGACTTCCACATAGCCGACTGTGGTTCAAGTCTCAGATTCAGCAGCTTAAAACTCACACTGCAGGGGCCAGTAGGTGGCAGAGTGATTAAGGTGCCAGACTCCCACATAGCCAACCACGGTTCAAGTCCTGGACTTGGAGGCTTGCTTTCTTGCTTTTTTTTCCTCTCTCTCTCTTGCTCTGTGGTCAAATTGAAAAATAATGCTGATGAGTAAAATTAAATTAAATAATTCTTTTTAAAAAATCATGCTGAGAGCATGTGCACGTGTGCCCAAAGTCCCAAGGGGAGAATGGAGGAGAAGGAATTACGGCATGGCCATGCCCCTTGGGAGGTGGTTTCTCACTTTCTGTCTCTCTGTCTCTCTCTGGCAAGGCCATGTACCCTATAGCAAAAATCTTTCAAAAAAGAAAGAAAGAAAGAAATGTGAAATTAAATAGGCCCTATATGCTATGATAATATAGCATTATAGAGATCCATATTACCATAGCCACCTTGACCTAGTCATTCAATCAAAAAGATGGATGTCAAATCTACTTGTTCAATTACATATTTGCTTAGGTTTACTTTCCTTTTTCTCAGGAGTTTACATTCTTTTTCTATTATAGCAATCTCATTATAATGGCCTTATTGAGTAGTCTTATGGCATATACCTCACATAATTTTAGGAGGGAGGTAGATTAAATACTTTATTTCACCTATGACATCTCATTCTTCCTCTTGGGTTTACAATTAGATGCACACAAAGAAATGTCATGGGCAAAACATGAGTAAGTTTTAAGGGAGAATAATTATCTTTAAATTTATCTATCCCAAGTCTGTAGATAAGCAGAGAGTTAAGAAATGTCCCCTAATTTATCCCATAAGCTTTCATTCAACTATATTATGTTGTGATAATGCAGCGAGGTATGTATTTTCCTCTAACGGTGAGACCCCTGAGAAAGCAGTATTGAACTCTAGGCTCAACATTAAGTTATTTTTCAGAAGTTTTGTCCTGTAGAAATGGCACAGAAACAACCAGCCTTAGCATAACACATTGCTTCTAATGAAATCTCACACACGACCTTTGCTCTCAGGAATGCTCTACATTTCTCCTGGGAGCCTCATTTCGGGGCAGCACCATATCACAGTCCGTGTTACTCACTAAAACTGTTCACGAAATGCATGCAAATATTCAACCAGCAGCTGCAGCAATGAATATTTATACAAGCATAGATCTTAAGTGTTCTCATGCCATTTGCCTAACTCATGGGCATGTTAACTACATTAAATGGCTAATAATTACATGGTTTTCTGAAATTTGAAAGACCTATAAAAATGTTATCGCCAAACATCATTTTTTAAAATGAATATCTATGTCTTTCTCTGGGCTAACACTAGAGGGTAGTCATGTTACACTGATGGAGACCGATCGTGGCCGGGACATTACAAAGGTGGTAGGTAGCCTTTTACCCAATATGTTCTATCAAATGAAAGAGATTCTGTATGCAGGCTTTCAAAAACCTGCAAATAATTTTCACTATTAAGTGGGGTATGTGATGATTCGTTCACTGGCTCCGTACATTTTATATGTGCCAGGGACGTCCTGCATCTCTTAGACTGGACTTAATGTCACACTATTTGACATGGCAGCATACGTTTAAGGAATTGGTTTACATTTATTTATGTAAGACTCCCACAGCCAAATAAAATAGTTGCAGCAATGGAAATGGAATAATTGGCTACTACAAAACGTAGGCCACAAATAATTGTCTATTTTGTTTTGTTCCCCCCACCATGCACAAGCAACGCTTGCCTATCTGCAAATTTTGCACAGGAAAACTACATAGCCTTGTGGCCTCGAGTGGCCCAGCACACAGATATCACCTCCACATCCAAGAAAAGGAAAACATCTCAGCCCACAGCTCACATTCCTGGTGTCCATATGCGTACAGTTGGTCTTTAGTGTATTCCTTTCCCTAGTGGCAAAGGAAGTCAGTACTCATTATTAAAGATATTTTCCTTAAACTCCTCACAGTGCCAAGGCACTGGTTCTAGTCAGGCAAGCACAGTGGCAACAGGCATAGAGAATTCCTTCTTTCTTTCTTTCTTTCTTTCTTTCTTTCTCTCTTGCTCTCTTTTTGATTAAAAGAATTATTTTTTATTTTTATTTATCATTATTATTTTGTTTTTAATTTGCCATAAAGCACGTGTGCTCGCCAGAGAGAGACACAGGAAGAGAAAGCAAGCCGCCAAGTCCAGGGCTTAAACTGTGGTCAGTCATATGGGAGTCTGGTGCCTTAACCACTATGCCACCTGCTGGCCCCTATTAATGAGACAACCCAGCTAAGCAATAACAGTAATTGGCCTCTGGCAGGGAACTGAGTGGGTGGGAAAAACTGAAGTCTTGGGGTTCTCTCATGCAATCCCTACAGCTCACTGAGAGGCAGAAAAGAGACACCAAGTGTCTCTAGGACATGCCCAAGTCACATGACTATGGTGGCAAAGACAAAGTAATCATATTACTGACTTTGGTAAGTCATATGGGAGTCTGGTGCCTTAACCACTATGCCACCTGCTGGCCCCTATTAATGAGACAACCCAGCTAAGCAATAACAGTAATTGGCCTCTGGCAGGGAACTGAGTGGGTGGGAAAAACTGAAGTCTTGGGGTTCTCTCATGCAATCCCTACAGCTCACTGAGAGGCAGAAAAGAGACACCAAGTGTCTCTAGGACATGCCCAAGTCACATGACTATGGTGGCAAAGACAAAGTAATCATATTACTGGAGTGCCAGCCCATCATTCTGTACACGGCCCTGGGCTCAGGAAGCATAAATGTCTGCCTTAATATTACTTGTGAGATTACCTAAGAGCCTTATTATCTGAGGACCTTTGCTAGGGCATGGCTTCAGGAATCTGCATTTCCTCAAATATAAAACGAGGAGTGACAATAATAACAGCAAAATGTGCAGAGTCTTTGCCTTTTGCAGGCACTGCTCCAAGTGTTTTACATGTTTTATGTCCATGTATCCGCCCGAATAACTGAAAAATAGGTGTGCTTACTCCTGTGCTTAGGAGAGGAAGCTGGGACACTAGGAGGCAGTGTCGCTAAAAGTGACAGAATACCCTGTAAGCCTCACCGCCCAGCTGGGGGACCCCTCCTTCATAAATGTCTGCTCTGCCTACTCCTGGCTCTGGAGATACATTAGACAATATACAGGTGCTTTTAAACAATGAAGTACAATTTCCAAAATGACCGTCGATGTAATGGTTATAATAATCTACAAGCCATAATGGGCACTGTAGCATTACAACTCGAACGGGCATAGAACTCTCAACACCGAACAAACCGAGAAGTGCGCCATGGTAGAGGGGAGACATAGAGCTAAAACTGTCCAGAAAGAAGAAAGGAACTCTAATAAGCGATAGATAATGAAGGCATTTTATCTCGAATATATTAGACATGTTGGCACAAAGAAGAGTGATCAAATGATCTTTCTTCCATTCAAGAGGCTCTGAGCCCAAAATCCAACAGTAGGGACAGTAAAGAAGATTGCAGAAGACGCCGTTCTGAGGACTGGGGGTTATGTGTGTTTATCTAGAAGGTTGCCAACCAGTTCCTGCACAGAGCCTTTTCGAAGGTTCCCTCAGGTCTTGAAGTCCTGTTACTTGTGAAAGACCAGAAATCAATCACATTTCTAAGCACCTTCCAGGCTCCACAAGGCTATAAAGAAGAGGCCCAGTCTCTCAGTGAACAACTAGCCAGTGAGACGATTTCCTGCTAAGCGGTCCTTCGCATTTGGAATTTGGAATTGAAGTAGATTTTTGTAGAGGGAAGGTCTGGGGTGTCGGTGGTGATACTGATGAGGAGTGATTAGAAGAAGAGTAACACGTTACTGTTGACCAAGAACAGGAGGAAAAAACTGTGTGGGGCTTAGCTGGAATCCAGCTTAGCCCTCAGCCCTCATGCATCCACCTCAACAACAACAACAACAACAAAGTAGATTTGTTAAACTAGCAATAGTACTAATAGCTAGTGTTGCTTTAGCATCTATCACCAGAAACTTTCCTAAGCACTTTACATGAATTAAATTCTTTAATTCTCAGAGCACCATCAGAGAGATGTCACTATTACCATTGTTTTAGAAATGGAAAGATGGATGCACAGATAAATGAAGCAACTTGGCCAGTGCCACAAAGTTAACAAGTGACAGAATCAAGATTTGAAGCCCAGGATGTCTGAATTTTGGAAATGATGCTCCAAAGAGCATACTTCCAGAGTATTGTTTTAGGGGAGGAATGGCCCAGAAAGCTCTTAGGAGCAACTTCATTGATTTGAGAAAGTGTGAGCTGAGCACACTCACAGCACAGAAGAGCTGACCTAAGAACCAAAACTCCCGCGAATATCACAAGGAGTGTGATAAATACGGACCCCGAGGCCTGTGGGCTAAAGCGCATAGAAATCCACTTAGCAGCAGACCCCTCTTCCTCAGCAACCACTCTTTTGTAAGTTAACCTATATTTTTAAAAAATATAATCTGGAACTCAGATTTTCCTCTAAGTAATGTCAGGTATCCTCTCAATTCAAATACAACAAAAGCTCAAAAAAGAAAAACTACAGAAGTTGGGACATAGCCATTAGCAGAAAGAAAGAGTGAAATCCAACATGAGAAAGGTGAAAGAAAGTAAGAAATGATTTCTGAGAGAAAAGTTGATGGTGGGTAGAAATTAAAGGAGGGTCATGATTTTGGAGGGGGTACCAGGAAGAGAAGGGCGAGTAAGGACTGGCCAAGGAAGAAAGGAAAGGGAAAGGGGAAAAGGAATCCACGAAATGTTTTTGCACCTCCAATTTAATTATTAAGTCCAAGACTAGCTACAACAAATTTAATTTTTGTGGTTTTTTTCCCATAAAAGAGACGCTAGGGCTGCAAATGATGAGCTGGTCCTACCTTGCTATGTTGCCTACAGACCATGGTCTGATGTACTGAAAGCAAGTGAGCAAAGCTCCTCTCTGGCTGAGTGCTGGCTGAGGGGCACTCCGTGTAGCCCTCCCTATCAGAGTCCACTTCTCCAAATAGTAAGACTGAGGCACAATGGACTGCATGCAGGAGGTTAAGCGCCCTCCCTTGGTCGTTGAAAATATTGCACTTCTTGAGGGGGGGGGTCTTCTTCAGTCTTTCCATTTTACACTTAAAATGTGGTTTACCAGATGTTTTTAAAATATGAATCACTAGAAATCATAATATATTTTCAATAAAGAAAAATGATGCCAATAGTGCAAGTCCTTGTTAGAGAACTGTTGGGTGATTCCTCAATAAAATACGAGGTGGAGAAGTTGTTAGACTACCCTATAAATACATAGATAATTAGATAGGTTGTGATGACAATATTTGACCAGCTTTAACCTCTTCTTACTAGCACTGGTAAAAGAGAAAAATCGCTTCACAAATTCTATTTCCTTTTTTTCTCTTCTAAACATGCCCTAATGAATCCAGATTTTCTTGTCTACTAAAATCTTCTTTCCTGATCCCATTTCTCACCAACCAGATTTTCTTTCTTTTCCCAACCATAAATGCTTTCTTTTCCAGTCACCAAAGTTATATTAATTTGTGAAAACATCTCAACAGGTCCATGAATCACAGTTTTAGAAAGGCAATGTTGAACCATCTCCAAATATATTCATATTTTTTTAAAAAAATTAATGAGGAAGCAATCCCCAGGAGCAATGAAATGGATAATTGGAAAGTAATGATGTTTTTGGCTACAATTAAAGCTGTGATTAAACATGTAAGCCTCTGGCAGAATTAGAAACAGGCAATTTTCCCCCCTAAGTTTCTCTAAACCGAGTTTTCTAAATGCATTCATTGTCTGAGCACTACCTATTGTTTTCTCTGTGCAACCCCTGTCTCCCCAGCGCTCTTCAGCAACAGACACGGGGGGCTTGAGAGCTTTCCTGAGCCGCTGCATCTGCCACTGTGAGAGGATTTGCCGGAGACCTGCACATCATTCATCTCTTAAACTGAATTGAACTGGCCTTCAGCCTGGCTATGCCACTTTTGTGGTTGGGCTTATGTCATTTCCCAGCAGATGATGAGTTCCAGCCTGGAGCCCAGTGACAGAGGAGCCAATGCATAAAGAGAAGACAGAATGCCCAGTGAGAGAATGTGGGCTCTTCGCACCGAAGCGGCCACTCTGTCACCTCAGTGGGCACAGCTGTGATACTGGCTTGTGTATGACTCTTTGTGAGTATCATAGAAATGCTCAGGTTTGGGGGATTTTGTTTGTGTTCTTCTTATTAGATATGGATTTTGGAGTTTCTGGATATTTGAGAGCAGAGCTTTTAAAATAAAATTTTAGTTACTCCCTAAAAACCATGAAGTTGAAAATGTGGACTAATTTTCCTATTGCTCTGTCTTTTCAGATTAAAAAAGTAATAATCATAAAAGGGAAACTATCACCAGAGCTAGAAATGGGTCAGACCCTGTTTATTTAAAAGCTCACAACAAGCTCATTGTGGCTGGACTGTGGCACTAGTTTTCCTTGAAGCATGTCCTTAATAAATTAGTATTTCAAGTCCTGACAACTACATTCTCATAAAAAACACAGGTATGATTTCCAAATCATTTAGCTCTTCATTTAAGTTGGTCTTAAAAAAGCTATGCCAGCCATTATTAATCAATACACGTAAGTGATCAAATAGCAATTCTTTCGAAAGGTATTTAACGCAGACTGCCCACTCACTGCCCACCGTTTCACCTCGTTCTGCCATAACATACTTACCTGGCAGACCTGTAGCTCCGGGCAAACCTTTCGAACCTCTTCCTGGAGGGCCACGCTCCCCCTTTTCTCCCAAGTCACCTGCATTTCATTAAAGAAATGTTATTTTTCTACATAGCAATAAAAATCAGCTTCCACACTTTTAAACTTTAAGCAAAGTCGAAATTCAGAAATCAAGAAGTCATGAAACCTATTTTTGTCACTATATAGGCTGTAGTAAGCATACAAGACAAAAGTGAAGTTCGTCACATCAATAGATCTAAAAAAACAAAATGATCACATCCACAGATATAAAAATGATATTTGACAATATTGAACATTTATTCTTGACAAAACAGTCAATAAAACAAGAAGCAGTGGCTACTTTATTAACGTGATAAAATATACCTATCTTAACCCCAAAACAAGCCCAATCCTTAAAGGAAAACACAAGAAACAGTTCTGCCATCAGAATGATATAAAAATGACTACTTTATCATTATTATTTATTGTTTGATTTGAAACATTCCTATTTTCTGGCTATATGAGTATAGCCATAAAACTATATAAAATCGACTCAAAACTACCTCAAACAATAAGAAAATGTAGTAAGCTATCAAGGCACAAAATAAATTTGTAAAAAGCAATCATTTTCATATATAAACCAGAAACCAGTACTAACACATAGTACAAAAAAGATACCATTTAAAATATTTAAATTAAAATATTAAATAACTAGAAGTTAGCTTAACTAGAAATACACAAATACAGCATGCAAAAAAGTTAACAATTCTAGAGGTCATAAGATCAGAAATGTCCTTAAATAAAATGACTTCATTGTAAGAAGTTATCAGTTCTCTCTTAGCTGAATTTTTATTATAATCCCAGTAAACACACACACACTTTCTTTTTAACCAGAAAGAGTGATTCTGAAGTTTGTTTAGAAAAACAGATAAGCCAGAATAGCCACAAAAATTATACACACACACACACACACACACACACACACACACACACTTACACAAAGAGAATTACTCTAACCAGATATTCAACCAATTAAAATGGTGTGGATACTGGTCCAACAACAGAAAGATCAGTAAAATAAAATAGCCTCCAAATAGACCTAAATACATATTGGAATTTGGTTTATAATAAAATTGACATCTTAACATGGAAATAAATACAATTAAAAATACAGTATTAGAAAAAGTAGGTAGTCAACTGGAAAAGAAGTTAGATCACTACGTCATGTAGTATTTCAGGATAAATTACAATGTAATAAAATATTTTAATGTAATTTGAGAACCAAAGGTAAACTAGAGAGAATTACTTAATAACCTCAGATTTAAGTTGGCCTTTTTAAAAAAAGAACTATTTAATTTTATTTATTATTTTATTTTATTTTATTTTATTTTATTTTATTTTATTTAGTTTGCTATAGGGTACATGTACTCACCAGAAAGAGACAGAGAAAGAGAGAGAGAAAGAAAGCTGCCAGGTCTGGGACTCAAACTTTGGTTGGCCATGTGGAAATTCAGCACCTTAACCACATGGCCACCTGCTGGTCCCAAGCTGGCCTTTATTAAATTGCCAAATGACGTGTATACTCCTCAGAGAGAGAGAGAGGGAGAAAGCAACCCCAACAGAGTGTGGTCACCACATCCTCCATTTTTCCATCCCATCAGGATTTGGAGCACGCTGGCACATACATCCAGCACGTTTTCAATACACCTGGGCTGGGATTCAAACTGCAGTTGGCCATGTGGCATCCAGCTCCCAGTGCACAGCACTTAATCACAATGCCATAGGGTCAGCCCTTGAGGTGGCCTTTCTATTATGGTTCAAAATACCAAGAGTTTCTAAAATAAAAGCAAAAAGGCCAATAACGATTAAAATGGAGCAAAATACATGAGCAAGCAAGTTATAGAAAGGAAATAAGAATGGCTCCTAAATATCTGAAAAATTATAAAATAAATGTAGAGTTTAAAAAGGGGGGCGGCGGCAGGTAGTGTGGTGGTCAAGGACACATGGCTGATCGTGGTTCCAGTCCTAGACCCCTGGTGTTGCTTTCTCACTTTCCTACTTTCTCTCTCTCTCTCCCTTTTTCTCTCTCTCTCATTCTCACTCTGTCCCTCTCTAGTTAAAATAAATAAACAAGTAAAATAAATAAAGTTAAATAAAATAATTCTTTTTAAAAATGCTATCTTAACCTACAACATCAGCAAAAATTCCAAAGTTTAATTAATCTTATGCTGTCAATCTGTGTAAAAATACAGCACGACACATTGTTGATTGTTGATGACAGTGTAGACTGGTGCAATTCCTGAAGGGTAATTTGACAATACCAATGGAAATACCACTTTATCCAATAAATCTACTTCTAGGAATTTATCTTAGAAAGAGAAAATCAGTGGATGTTGATAGTTTGTACAAAAATTAAATATGTGCAATGTTTTCACTGCCTTGTTGTAAAAGAAGATTGGAAAATGCTAATATCCATTAAAAGTTAAAGACATTATGGTATTTCCACAGAATGGAATACTATATAGCTGTGAAGAATTGGGAAACTCTTTGGAATGATGTCCAGAATATATTGCTAAGTGAAGAAAGCAAGGTCCAGATTACTCACTAAAGGACAACATAATTAGTTTTTAAAAGAATATGGGAGGCCAGAAGGTGTTGTGGTGGTTAAAGTGCTGGACTCCCACATGGCCAACTACGGTTCAAGTCCCATACCTGGTGGCTTGCTTTCTCACTTTCCCTTTCTCTCTCTCTCTGTCGGTCTCTTTCC